TTAGCATCAAGAGAATCTTTAAAAAGGAAAAAAGCGCACAGGGTTTCAATCGTTGCACATGTTCTACTATTCTTTGTTTCTCTCCCTTTTTTTTTTTTTTTTCATTTCTATCAAGGATTTATTGCGACTCGCCAAACCGTCATGTCTCTAAATTCTACGAGGCCAAAGAGAAGAGAAGTAAAGCGTGTGGAGAGAAGAGAAAAGAGAAGAAGGGGTTCTGTCGATTTACCCCAGCTGCAGCTCGTCTGAAGCGTCCGAAAGATCGCTCTCGTAGCCAGCTGGAGCGATTCGCGCGAATTTGTCGACTTGCATTCGAACCCGAGTGTTGCCGGGCTGATCGTCAGCCGCGTTTCGATCACGATCGTCATGATCGTTCACGTATTTAATATCCTTCTCGTTCTCGATGAAACGGTCCGTCTCGTTCTTCGCCGGTGTCACCAGATCGACCTCCTCGATCGGTCTGCCTGGTTTCTGGAAAGAAATCGATACAGACGCTGTCAATGGTTGCGCGATATATTCGCCGATTTAATGGTTAACCGCAGGCGGGCATCGTTTTTCAAGCTACGTGCCGAAAAAGAAAGAGAAAAACAATCGGCTTTCTAGGCTGGAGTCCGATTTCGTTTCACGGCAGATTTCATTCAGAGACTGGCGAACGATCGATTTCCGGTGATGTGGATTTCCCTGCAACTTTCTCAATGCCTCTAAACGATCTTCCATGTTTCATTAGATCTTTGCAACTAATTTGCACGCAATTTACAAGATACAGTGCTGTGCATATATAATAAGAAACGTAGGATTGTTCAGAAGGTAAACACGTGAAATTCAATTCCTTTGCTATTGTCCTTTTATCATTCACTTCAGCTACTTAGTTGCAGCCCTGCTTTCTTTAAACTTTAAACTCACTGACAAAAGAAAAAAAAATTTCTTTTAGTTAAGAGATATATATATCTATAATATTTCAAATGTAAGTTAAGTCTCGAGTTGTTGTTAATTACTAATAAATTACCAAAAAGTAGTCCACCATTTAAATTAAATCTTCGGATAAAATTTATTTGCAAAGCTCCAAATTTATTGGCAAAGCTGCATGAAACTCCAATGGAAAAAGGAAAAAAGAAGAGAATTATTGGAAATGAAAATTCCGATGTGCTCACCTGCGGCGTTATCAAATCAATTTCTTCGACCGAGGTACTTGATGCTCGGCACGGAGTGGATGACGTTTCGATACTTGTAAATGATGCATTTGGCGTCTCGATGCTCGAAACCGATTTATGCGAAGTGTTCACCGACGTTTCAGGGCTGAAAGTTGGCTTCGGCGGACTAGGCACAGGACTTGGAACAATACCGATCTCATCGCAATGTCGACTCCGCGTGGAAAGCGACAACGTCGAAGAGGCTGCCGATGACAGAGTTTCTTCTGGCTCGGCGTAGCCTTCTTTTATCATCTCTTGGCCAACATTAATCTCCTAGGCGAGTCAAAAAATAAATAATTGAATAAATCAAACAATACGAAACAATGCAAACGTTAAGAATTTAACTTTAATAATAAAATAATAATAATTTTTAATTAACTTTAATTAACTTTAATAATAAAATAATAATAATAATAAAATTTACTATTTAAATTTTTAATCCTGCGTGAATAATAATTATAATAATAATAGATAATAAAAAATAGTTGATTTATATGACGAAAATTTAATCGAACAATCGAACAACATTAATCTCCTATGCGAGTCAAAAAATAAATAATTGAATAAATCAAATAAACAATACGAAACAATGTCAAAACGTTAAGAATTTAACTTTAACAATAAAATTTACTATTTAAATTTTTAATCCTGCGTGAGTAACAATTATAATAATAATAGATAATAAAAAATAGTTGATTTATATGACGAAAATTTAATCGAACAATAATAACGAAACGTGGAAATATTACGAAGAAAAATGCTGGTCCTATCGAAAATCGATCGGGAAGTAAGAATAACATTTTTTTTCCATTTTGAGGTTTTCGTTTCCGAGGGAAACCGGAATTCAAATAATTAAGATAGTTAATTAAGAATTAACTTGATTGTTATAAATTTTAAAATTGTTATTATAAAACTAATCACTTGTTATTATAAAACAAATCATTTGTTTATAATAATAATGTAATAAAACAACAATATAATGAATAATATAATAAACAATATATAATAAATAATATAATAAACAATATGTTATTATAAAACTGCTCACTTGTTATTATAAAACAAATCATTTGTTTATAATAATAATATAATAAAACAACAATATAATAAATAATATAATAAACAATATGATAAAACGAATCATATGTTTCAATGCATTTTTTTCAAATCGTGATCGACTATAAATAAGGGAAAGCGCGTCTTATTGAGTCTGTTCTGAAACTTCTGAAACTTCTGGATTTTCCTACAAGGAAATTCTACTCGATGATATTTTCAATCCGAAATTAGCTAAATTTAAATTTGACCATCCCGAATTCTTGAGTGAAAAAAAAAAA